GAGCGGCCAGCTGGAGGAGCCTCGGCTATTATATTAATATAATATAATATATAATATAATATAATATAGCCCATGGAGTCCAAGATCACCATCTGCAGTGATCATGTGCTCCATGATCACTGCAGATATTGACAGCAGCCACGAAATTAAAAGATTCCTGCTTCTTGGGAGGAAAGTGATGACAAACCTAGATAGCATCTTTAAAATCAGAGACCTCACCTTGCCGACAAAGGTCCGCATAGTCAAAACTGGCTTTTCCAGATGTATGGAAGTGAGAGCTGGACCATAAAGAAGGCTGACCAGCGAAGAATTGATGCATTTGAATTGTGCTGGAGGAGACTTGAGAGTCCCCTGGACTGCAGAGAGAACAAACCTATCCATTTTGAAAGAAATCAACCCTGAGTGCTCACTGGAAGGACAGATCCTGAAGCTGAGGCTCTAATACTTTGGCCGTCTCATGAGAAGACTCCCTGGAAAAGACCCTGATGTTGGGAAAGTGTGAAGGCTAGAGAAGAAGGGGATGACATAGGATGAGATGGTTGGACAGTGTCATCGAAGCTACCAACATGAATTTGACCCAACTCAGGGAGGCAGTGGAAGACAGGAGGGCCTGGCGTGCTCTGGTCCATGAGGTCACAAAGAGTCGGATAAGACTTAACGACTAAACAACAAAAATATTATATTATATTCCTATACCACACCGTCTAGTGGGAGTGCCACTATTCTGGGTAGTTTCCAATAGTGAAATAAACATAAAGAGAACAACTGCACCCAACCGACAAATATTAAAAAATATATAAGGAGAACTACGCAGTTAAACATTTAAGATGGTGGTAATGGACAAGATACAAACTACAAAATATAATAGCTAAAATAAGACTAAGTGACAAACTAGTAAGGTGAGGGGGTTTCCTGAAATGTCTCCCTGACAAACAGTTTTTAAAATGTGTTTTCTGAATCTTCGGAGGGATGGGGCCAGATGTACTAATATTATGAGATTTTAATCAGTTGTTTCAGAAGTTCAATAGCAAACGCTGACACGTTTTTCTCTTATGTTCTTTTTTTTTCAGGTTACTCCTGGGAAGTTAATAACTGAAGGAAGATCTCATTTTTTGTGATGCAAGGGCCAATATCTTGAGACAGAAAAAAGACAGAAGACCATTACTTTGGGACCAACTGGAATAGTGTTGGGGCATTTAAAACAAATTTTACTTATCTACTGTGGAACCTAAGCACTAACTAATTACTTGGAGGAGATACATATTAGGAGCGTTGTGTCTTGCTCCTAACTTTGTTTTTGCACTTTGAACTGTTAGCAAAATGAGTGAATTCTGGTTGTGTTTCAACTGCTGCATTGCAGAACAGCCTCAGCCTGTAAGTATGAATTTTAATTTACATCCAGTTTGGTGATGTTTATTATCTCTAGCATTGGTTATTTTTTTTCCTTTGCATTTTTGTTTGTGGGCTATATCAAATTGTGTCTGTTGTGTTGCTCCCAGTCACCAGTTATTCCTACACTCTGCTAGTCCCTGGGATTTTTAAAAATCTGTCTGGTTGAATTAAGATAGCCCTCAATGTAGCAGGAAGTGGTATTCAACCTTGTATCATGCAAATTCATTCATATTCTCCTGCTCCGAAGTCAAACCAGGGAATCAGTTCTCTTTGGTTTAAGTGGCCACACAGACAGATGAGGAATAGCCTTGTTATTGCAATTCAGTTGAAGTGCCTGTAGGTGGCATAGTTCAAAGGAGCTGCCTTAACAAGGCTTTTCACTCCTCATTTCCTCATCTTGCCTACTGGAGGAGCTCTGCAAAACTGTAAATAAATAAACATGAGCTCCCATCACTGAGGAGAGCCTCTAGGAAATGGTGTCTCGGAAGAGAGGCTTTGCTGATAGAAGGAGTGCTGGTGCTTCATGTGTGTGTGTTCGTGTGTGTGCGTGGTTTGTGAGGCAAGAAGCAATTGGAAAGATACTTTGGCAAAGCACCAGCTCTGCTCAGCTGTTCTTTCTGTATCAGTTAAAGCGAATACTGTACTGTACATGCTTAAGTCCATTTGAAAAGATTCAACCTTTTTAAAAGTAGAAGATTCTCTGGGGTGGAGGAAATATTATGGATTGGGGGTGGGGGACTCTGGGTTGATTAGCATTTCCCATTATGCCACGTAATCAAAGGAAAAAAATTCAAATCCGCCTGCCTCAAACCCAATGTATTTTCTGCATTTCTCCCCCTTGCATAGTCAGGCTCTTAATCAACTTGCATATCTTTCTATCTGTAGTACGATATGCTTTGAGCTCGAAGATATACAGTGCATATGTGTGTCTGAATGTGCATGTACATACATGGCATGGTCACATATATTTAATGTGCGTATAGTATGAAAGTTGGTAGCCACTGGAGCTGTTGGGCATAGATCATATCCATTAATACCAGAGGCCAGTGGTAGGCAGAAGTAACAATGTTTAAAACCAACTAATTGAGGTAAAATACTACTCCAACAGAATTCTAAAGGGGTACCTATTGCACTGAAGACCAAAACAAACAAAAAATTCAAGTGTTTTCTTCTGTGGAAATTTTATGTCTCCTGTCTGTTCCATAGCACTCTTGTCAGTTCATCAGTTCAAAAAGTATGCAAGACCGCAGCAAAAATTAAATAATTTCACTACTTTGGCAATTGAATGAAATATAAAATTGTCACCTAATTCAGTTGTCAGAATTTCTGTTTTTCTTATGGAGACTTTTTCATCGGGTTACCAGATGCACAAAAGGACCTGGCATAACAAGTTGTACATGCTGAAATTCCTTCCTACACGACGACAATATAGGAGTTGTGTGATCTTGTGTTATCTCCAACACTTGCATACTTAACAGCAGTAACCAACATATTAATATTCATTTTACTAGAATGGCATTCACACAATACTGGAAAGATCTTATATTTGGTACCGTGTGAAACTCCTTGAGAATTCCAGAGGCTGGGTGTCGTCTCTTTAAAAAAGCCACCTCACCACACAGCCTTTTCCTGCAATTTGTTGTATAACTTGAATAAGTAAATTGAGACAGAGCTTAATATGTGGGATATGGAAGAAGCCAGACCCTACTTGCGCCCCCTATTCTCAAGTATATATTTCAAGGATCCATTAAGTGTAAATCTTACATGGTTGAATGACAACTCGTAGGAGGCAAAATGAAGTCTGCAAGGCACTCTTCTCCAGCCTGGCACCTGTCAGCTTGTTTGTTTCAGTTAACCTGTCATGGTGAGAGATCATGGAAGTCCAAAATATCTGGAGGAAGGTTGAAGGACACTGCTCTTAAAGTGATAGTGAGTGATGGTGGTAGTAAATAATTATGATTATTTTCAGCACCATATGCGGAAGCATTTGACCTATTTTAAAGAAAGCCTCAAGCATGTCCAGAAATGAAACCTTAGCTACATTATTCTGATTGTCAAAGAATGTAATTTTGATGATCCTGACAAGAAGTATTCCAAAAATGCCAGTAATAATAGTTGCTGGGCAAGTTACTCCTCCCTACTTTTGTCTGCAAATGTGACTGAATGCCAGTTTTAATGAACAGATATTTGGGAGGACTTCGTATCTTAGATGCCAGACTAAGGAGTTAGTGGATTGTATTGAAATGCTGTGCAAATTTGGAAACGTTAAGGCTGATTTTAAAATTCTCAGTAAAAACATGCTGCACAGTCATCATAAAACAATATTACCTCTTAAGCACGTTGAAGAACAAGGAATTTGAACTTGACTATTACTCTATTACTCATAGAGGCCCCATCGAGAGGCCTGGGACCAACCGACTGTGTTAACTATAATCCATGCTTTTCAGTATCTGCAGGGGGCTTGGAACTGATCCCCCATGTCCTACTGCAGGCGTTATCAACCCCCAGTCACTCCCCCCCCCAGCTGATCCGTGGCCTAAAAAGGTTGGGGACCCACTGTCCTACTGTATCATTCTTTGTCAACATAGGTGGAAGCTGGAGTTTGGAATTAACACTACCAAAGTGAAATACAGGTTTTATTAAAATGAAATGGAATTTTGGGTGAAAATGTCATTTCAATTCCTTTTTTTTTTATCAGAATCTTCAAAAATTTGAATGATCAGCAAGTGGAAGAAAGTGAAACGGCTCATTCGTTTAGTCTCTTAACACTGATTTTGTAACTTAACAGAAGAAGAGACATGGGAGGAAGTGAAGTCAGTAATGGGAATCTCATTCTTAAAAGACAAATAGCATACAAATGTGTTTATCTTTAATTCCTCTTGGTTTTTTAATGAGAGAATCCTTTGGCCAACTTATGCTTGCATAAAGGAAATTGCATAAATATTGGCAGGAAGTTGTGACTCATTAAGATATGCCTGATTGCTTGATTGAGTATGCACCTTGGAAGGCAGCCAGCACCTTATTACTGGTTAGCCATTTGTCGCTAAGCTTTACTTCGTTTCCCTTACAGAGGTGTAAACCAGCAATAGGATCCAGCCATTACTTTTCTGTATTTATTTTAAATTTTAAATTACACCTTTCACTTTGTTAAAAAAAAAGGTAGGATTATTGTGTCAGGTGAAATTTGGAAATGATTTTTCAAAAATCAAAAAGGGGCCATGATGTTGAAAAGTTTGGGAACTACTGTTCTGTTTTCCTTAGTGTCAGCTCAGTTGGCCCCTTGCAGTTTTGATGAGTTGCGTACAAATGTACTGAAATGTATTACTTATAGATCTGATTACTTTAAAGCTACTTGGATTCATCACTGTTGTCATGGCTCTTGGTAGTAAATTCCATAAACTACCGGTAATTGTGTTCTGTGAAGAGCGCATGGTGTGTCCTCAGAATCTGTTGCTTACCTGTTTCATGGGATGACCTTAAATCCTTCTGTTTATGAACAGGTTTTGATCAGTTTTACGTAATCCAAGATAATTTTTTTGGGCGGGGGGAGAAGGAACTAAAGTGGGGGAAAAGAGTTCCCCTGATACATTGGGGACTTTAACTAGCCTCTAATTTGTTTTGAGATAAGTAGCAGTATTGCCATTGTCTTAAATATACCAAATAGCGTCCTTGAAGTTTTCGAAAATGAACAGTGAACACATTGGTAATGGATAGAATAGGATTACTATAATCCAGAGTTCTTTCCATGGTGAAAAGTGTTCTTTATTTTAAAGATAATGAGAGATGAAAAGAAGAGGGCTAATTCAGAGCATATTAGTTCTAAACTGTGTACTTGCAGATGTCGAACTGCTTTTCTTGGAAAATGCACAGAAGTAGCAATCTGAACAGGGAGCCCTCACCCCTATGTAATTTTCAGAGAAAAATACCAGCTATTTAAAGTTAGCCATTTTCAGGGTATGTATCTCTGTATCCAAGTACAAAATGTCAAGCAGGAGGCATCAGCCATTTAGAAGCTTATTCCTCGCTTGTCAACAGTACAGAAGGGTATTATCAGGCAATAGTTTTCAAGGACAGCTAGAATTGTGGTTTCTTTTTCTTTGACTATAGACTAATAAAACATAACGGCTTGAATCCAATTTGTAGTCCAGACTACAGAAGACTCATTGAACTAGTTAGATTTACCATATTGTTTGCTCCATAAGATGCACTTTTGCCCCCCCCCCAAATGGGGGGGATGTGTGTCTTATGGAGCAAAGGTGGTGATTTTGCACCCACTGGCCCTGTGGGGGGGAGCCTCCCAAGGGTCCAAGACCCTTGCGGGGCTCCACCCACCCACCCCACGGGGCCAGCGGGGGCTAAATCGCCAGCTTCCAGGACCCTTTTGAGGCTTGGGAAGCTTCCGAAGAGTCCCTGAAGGTGGCGATTGTGCTCCCTCTGGCCCCCAGGGGGTGGGGGAGCCTCCCAAGGGTCTGAGTCTGCCTTTCAGGACCATTGGGAGGCTCCCCCCACCCCCCACAGGCCCGGAGGGGGCGAAATCGCCACCTTCTGAGACTCTTGAGGCTTGGGAAGCTTCAGAAGAGTCCCTGAAGGTGGTGATTTCGCCCCCTCTGGCCCCATGGGGGGGCAGGGTGAGCCTCCAAAGGGTCCTGGAACACACCCTGGGACTCTTTGGAGGCTCCCCCCAGTCCCCATGGGTCCAGAGGGTGTGTTCCATAAGACGGACCTCTCCATAAGGCTCACCAAATTTTTAGAAGAAAACATTAATTTTCACCCTAGGACTCTTTGGAGGCTCCCCCCAGCCCCCATGGGTCCAGAGGGTGTGTTCCATAAGACGGACCTCTCCATAAGGCTCACCAAATTTTTAGAAGAAAACATTAATTTTCCCTGTTTTTTTCTCCTAAAAATTTGGTGCGTCTTATGGAGAGGTGCGTCTTATGGAGCGAGAGAAGAAAACATTAATTTTTCCCTGTTTTTTTCTCCTA